TATCTAGCCAGGGCACGTCTGAAGAGTTCAAAGATTCGATTCCTGTATCCAGCCAGGGCACATCTATTAACGACTATTTCCATATTCGATTCCTGTATCCAGCCAGGGCATATCTGTGAGCAACCAATTGTAGATTCAATACCTGTATCTAGCCAGGGCATATCTGCATGAGGAAATTGAAGATCAAACACCTGTAACAAGCCAGGAAAACATCCGTCTTTCTCAAATACACAAGTCCTCGCTAAGGAATCTCTTATGCGATCGACACTTCCAAATGGCATTTATAAGCCCATTCCCGACAAAGTTCTGTCACATCTCCAGATGGCATCTATAAGCCCATCTCCCTATCTACTACCTCTCCAAATGGCACCTATAAGTCCATTCCTGACATCACATTGTTGAGACTCCAGCATGCGAGTGCAAATTTCCGGGCACTCTAGTGTCCAATCTCCTTTTACCCTCGAGTCACGAAAGGCAAACTTGCCAATCTAACTCTTCAGGTCCAAGAAGATTGAACAGGGGAAACTGTTGTACCCCAAAATTTGCCCTCCCATTTCCTCAACATTTTCTCATCACAAGACCCTTGAAGATCAAGATCCAGTTAGGGTTTCCTCTGCTCAAGACTTCTCCTTGCACTGTGGACTCAAATTAGGGTTTGTGTTTGCCTAAGGATGTTTTGACCTAAAAAGCCTAAGATGACTTTCATGCTTCATATTGGACTCCCAAGTTTACCCTCACCAAGTTTCAAGTCTTGATTCCAAGTTTTGCCCAGTCAATTGGACAGTTGACCTAGAAGTCAGCTGTATTGGGGAAAAAGTCAACTGTGGCCAATTGACAGTCAAATCTCATGAAATTTGACCCATATCAACATATTGAACTCATATGAACCATTTGATCAAGTTTGGATCACAATTCTCCAAGAAATTTGATCAGATCATCAAAAGGGCAAAATGGTCATTTTTAGGGTTTTGACTGCACAAAGGCAATTTTTGACTGTTTGACCTAGCCAATGGCAAACCAAGCTCACATATGGACTCAAGGACCCCATGGAATTATCTTGACATGTTCATCAAGTTCAAAAAATCCCAAGTACACAAGATTGACAGTTGAATTTCCCAGTCAATTGATCAATTTTGACTGTACACTGAAAAGTCAAACTTTGACTTTTTGGTCAAAATAAAGAATCAAGATTCATTTTTCATCAAAACTTGCCAAATCATGAAACTTGTTCACCAAGAAATCACAAAATGCAAATTAGGGTTTGAAAATGGAATTTTTCATAACTTAGAATTTTTCTAAGTTATGAAAAACCCTAATTTTTTCCCAACTTTGCCCCATCTTTTCACCAAGATCCATTTGGATTCAAACAAAAGTCAAAACATGAAAGTTGTAGCTTGTTGCATAATCTACAACTTTGATTCACAAAGTTTTCTCATTTGAAGCTTGTATCTCAAGTTACAATTTTTTGAATAAGGGCACTAAACCATTTTTAACTTAGTGAAATTTTAACCTATTTTGACAAGGTTTTCTACCCCACTTCAAGGCCACTTTTCATACCCTTCCACTTGGAATTTTGATTTTCATTTCAAAGATGGATTGTAGTACACATTCCAAGCTTTCCAAAATGTCCAAAAACTTCTCAAACAACCTCATAACTTGAGATATTCGAATTTCACAAGTTGGCAAAAATTCACTTTTGTTCTTCATCAAAACATGTTCATAACTTTGCAAATTTGAAATCAGCTTGCTTTATGCTTGATTACAGGTCCTTGAACCATTCCATACTCAATAATTTAATGCATATTCAATGTGTTAAGACCATGTTCTTTGTGTTCTAACATTGCATAGTGGATTAATCCTAAACTAGATAAAGTGAACTTTCCATTTTTGAAAAGATTAACTTTATGTCCAATTGCAAATCAAGAAGGTACAAGCAAAATCCTTTTGGAACAAGATTATGGGCAAATTGCTCTGATCAAGAGAGGCTTATGCAGCAGGATTAGAGGCCCCTACTGACCTAAAACACAAAGTGACCATTGCTTGCTTCATTTTCAAGTAACATTGCATAACTTGTATCATATCTCATCTCAGCATAGAAACACAAGAGAGAAGTTATCAAACACATTCAGAAGAACATATCCAAGCTAACACACGAGCCCTTGCCATCTAAAACACTCCCATTGCCCTAATCACCTTGAAACTGCACAAACAGGGGAACCCCTGCAGATTGAGTGCTATCTCTCAATCCCTTCGAGCATTCTTGTCCAAACCTGTTCCTCTACCTTCCTTACAACATACTAACCATGGCCTAAAACCTGACCTGTAATCACCCTAACAGTTTCCACCATTTTCATTTTTTCCTTTTGCAGTTGAAGTTCCATAGCTTGATTCAGAAACTCTCAAGACAAAGTAAGCATTGAAACAGCATCCCTGGACCTCAAGGAAGCTTTTCCAATCATTACATTGCACTGAAAGTTCCTCATTCTCCAGATAGAAGTTCAACTGCACAGGTAAAACTTTGAACTCGTATCTCTCTTATCATGCATCTTTAGTCTTAAGTTTGTGAAGAAACAAGGTTCTACTCATAGCCCTGAACATGTACATATCTTTACATTTCATTTCTTTTGCCTGAGTAGAGAGAATTTAAGCTTTGAAAATGGCAGAAAGTTTAGGTCAAGATTTGGGATTGATAAAATTCTCTCTCATTTCTGAGAGTTAGGATGAGTTTTTTATATATTTGGAATCGTGATTCAATGCTTGACATGTTTTGTGTTGAAAGTTTGTGCAAAATCTCAAAGAATCAGGATGTTTGAATCTCTGAAACAAGGCGCGCGTTTTGGCCAAAGGTTGAAGAAGAAGTGGAGTGGGCTGGGCCTGTGTTATTTTGCTCTTCACACCACTTTTTTTTTATTCACACCCCCCTGAGCCCATTTGTTCATTTTTTAACATTTTTGACTTTTTCCTTTCATGTTTGACTTGTTTATTTTTTCTCATGACATTAAAAAATTAAAAATATTTTTTCCATCATTTTTTGTATTTATTGCATATTTATTTGTTTATTTCCTTTGTTTATACATAAATATTATATATATACTATTATTAGAATAAATAGAAAAATAGTGTAAATACATTTTTATTTTTATTTACCTTCTGAAAATATTTCACATAAAAAAATACTCTTTTTCTTTATTTCATTAAAATATTAAATAAATATTTTTTTTGTGTATAATACATATTTAAGATTTAATATATATATTATATATGTTTATCAATATATTTAAGTTAAAAATATAAAAATACTTGAATTTTTATTTTTATTAATATTTGATACAAAAATACTTTTTCCATAATATACTTCATTTTATTTTATTTTTATAAATAATAAATAAATAGTTGTATTAAAATTAGATAATAATGCATTTTCTTTTAAAATTAGGGTTTTTGCCCCAAATTCAAAATACTCAAAAAATAATATATTTTTATTTTCTTTTCTCTTTTACATAAATAACATTTTTTCATATATATACAAAACATTTCTTTTGCATCTTGCATTCTTATTTAATTTTTGTACATTGATTAATTTGCAAATATTCAAAATGATGTAATAATGTAGATTTAAATTCTTGTCAATATCCCCATTTGAACATTTGTACCCCCCTTCCCATATTTGGTTTTGTAATAGCTTAGTAATTTTAATTTCGCACTTTATTGCTTTCTAATGATAATATGTTAGAATTAGGGTTTGTATGCGAAAAACGATGAAAATAGTTATGACCTAATCTCAAGATAAACAAGCATGAAAATGGACACACAAACCACACTTGCACCCCCTAGGGTACTCCACTTGTTGCCTTTCAAAATTGGGCCATATTGTATGTTGAACTTCTTTGGGCAAAGCAAACAACTTGAATGATCATGGTCCCTCGACAAAACTTTTCAAAACAAACAAAAACAAATGATCAAGTCCCTTAAAGAAAATTGCCCAAAGACATTTAACGTCGTTGCAATTATGGTCTAAACGATGACCCGCGCCTGTCCCTTTCACATCCTAACACAAGATTGTCCACCAAATACAATGGTGGAACAAACTTGTTAAAAGGGTTAAAACATAGCAATAGTTTTTTTGAGAAATTTAGGAGTAGATAACCTCTTAGTTACTTGAATCAAACTTAACACTTGCCTAATTTCAAAACCACACAACACTACACTTTCAAAAAACAACTTTCAAAAACAAATGAAAACCTTTTCAAAAGACATACATCTTTGTATACATCCCCACATGGATCATTACAAAGGTTGCCACCACATTGGCATCTTTTCAAAACATTTTCAAAACCCACACACTCAAGCACCATTTAAAACAATTGAAAACAAAGGCAAGTGATCTAAGCAAGTAACTAAGAGCCCATGGATAACCATGGATAGAAAGGGTGTTAATACCTTCCCTTTCTATAATCTACTCCCCGAACCCAAGAAAACATCTCAAAAAGGTTTTTGCTGTGCTTTTTAACCTTTCCTTAGGATAAAATAAAAAGTCGGTGGCGACTCTTGCTCAACCGAAACATTTGCGAATACAAACGCAAAACCTCAAGTCAGTTCTCCCACCGTATCACACCGTCCAAAAAAAAATCCATCACCCGACATTTCAAGCTCAAAGTCATTAATAATTCACACTATAAATTTCAAAGTTCATCCAAACCAAACATTCATTATAAAATCATTACAATCCCATTACACCAATATTCTACAAAGAAAAAAAACTGTTACAAAATACACTTGAACAAAATTCTTTAGTCCTAAAGGTGCTAAAATTCCAGGAGTAAAATTCTAATTCCATGCCATGTCAAAGTTCTTCATCTTCAGTTCATGACCTGCACATTCATACAAAAAAAAATCCAAGTCAATACAAGCAATCATACCAAAATACCCCCATTCCCACCGCTACCCTCATTTCACACAGTATCCCAAAAAAAAGCTGTCTTCCTCCTTCATTCACCACCATGGATGCCACGCTCTTCGTTCTCAAGGATTACTTCGGGTTTATGAGTTTTCGACCTTATCAGCAAGAGGTTATTGAGAAAATTATTGAGAAAAGGGATTTCTTTGTAGTTATGGCTACTGGTAGTGGCAAGTCATTGTGTTATCAAGTGCCTCCGTTGGTTGTGAAAAAGACTGGGATAGTTGTAAGCCCTTTAATATCATTGATGCAAGATCAGGTTATGGCTTTGAAACAGCGAGGTGTCAAAGTTGAATATCTTTCGAGTGCTCAGAAGGATTATACTATTCAGGGTAAAGCTGAGCGTGGTCAATTTGACATTCTGTTTATGACTCCTGAGAAGGCATGCACAATTCCTACCAGTTTCTGGTCCAACTTGCTAAAGGAAGGAATTAGTCTTTTTGCTGTTGATGAAGCACATTGTATATCAGAATGGGGGCATGACTTTAGGGTAGAATACAAGCAGTTAGACAAGTTACGTGGTGTTCTGTTAGATGTTCCTTATGTTGGTCTAACTGCAACGGCTACTGAAAAGGTTCGGTTTGACATCACCAATTCCTTGAAGATGAATAATCCTTACATTGTTGTTGGTTCATTTGATCGCCCAAATCTTTTCTATGGTGTCAAGCAATTTAATCGAGGACAATATTTTATTGACGAGCTTGTTGAAGAAATTCCAAAAGAAGTTGCTAATGGTTCAACTATTATTTACTGCACAACAATCAAAGATGTAGAACAGATATATAAGTCAATAATGAACGTCGGTATAAATGCTGGAATGTACCATGGCCAAATGGATGGAAAATCACGAGAGGAGTCTCACAGATTATTTGTTAGAGATGAAAAGCAAGTCATGGTGGCTACAATTGCCTTTGGCATGGGCATAGATAAACCTAATATAAGAAAAGTGATTCATTATGGCTTCCCTAAAAATCTAGAGTCCTACTACCAGGAAAGTGGGAGATGTGGTAGAGATGGTATAGCTTCTGCTTGTTGGCTTTACTACACAAGAAGTGACTTTTCAAAGGGTGATTATTATGCTGCAGATTTAAAATCGAAAAACCAAAAAAAAAACTGTTACGGAGTCATTGCTTGAAGCTCAACGCTATTGTTTGACGGCAACTTGCAGAAGAAAGTTCTTGCTAGAACACTTTGGAGAAAAATTTGCAGCTGATCGATGTGGAAACTGTGATAAGTGCACGGTCTTGAGGCAACATCGTGACATGTCAAAAGAAGCCTTTCTTCTACTGGCTTGCATTCATTCATGCAAGGGAAGATGGGGCCTTAATATGTCGATTGACATCCTGCGGGGTTCTCGAGCAAAGAAAATAATGGAAGCTCAATATGACAAGCTTCCACTTCATGGACTTGGGAAAGCATACCAAGCAAATTGGTGGAAAGCATTTGGACATCAATTGATTTCTCTAGGTTATTTGAAGGAGTTTGTGACTGATGTGTACAGAAATGTAAGTGTGAGTTCAAAAGGAGAGCAATTTTTGGCCTCATGTAGACCAGACTATCAACCTCCTTTGGTTTTGCCATTGGTTAGTGAGCTCGCAGAAGAGGAAACTAGAAGCGCAGAAGAATTCAAAATTTTGGCCGCTTCAGAATCTGAAGGCTGGAGGACAGCTCTACCAAATGCTTTTAGAAGAAAGATTAAATCTTGCAAGGAGTGTTGGAACAACTTCATATGCTTTATGCGGTGATCAAACAATCTCAAGATGAATGTCTCCAACGCAAGACTGTACCGGTTTCCCACCAACATTCTCAAACAAATGAAGTTCAGAAGTCTGAAAAAGATTCTGTCTTTAACCATAAGGTAATCAAAACAAATAATCCCAACTGTGAATCACAGTATGCAAAATTGCAGCAGATGAGTAATCAACAGGCCACAGTAAATGAACAACCTAGTAGCCAAATCAATCGTAGTAAGCAGGTGCCATTTGGCTTATTGCTCCCTATCTTGATTCCCCAACTTTCCAAATATAGAGCAATGCAACTTACAACATTATTTAACAAATTGAAGAAAGATGAAATACCCAAAGATCATTTTGTACGGCTTATGAAAGGGATTGTGGGGGATCAGATGCTTAGAATAGCATTGACGAAAGTGCAACAACAAACAAAAGCCAACGCAGGTTCTTCTGGACAGCAGCACCCTGTAAGGATGCCAACGGTTACTTCCAGTGGAACAAAATTTAATGATCCCCATGCATTAGCACAACTGCATCAGAGAAGTATGAATCCTGCTGCAGACCATTCTCATAATACTTCTTCAGCTATCCAAGTGAAGAGTGAACCGACATATTCAACTGTGGACATTGGTGCTAAAAAGTCTCTGGAACATGATGTTTGAGTTGTGCAACCAAATCAATTACCATCATCAGGTTCTAATGCCGTCAGTCAAGAAACTGAAAGATCCTCAGTTCACATACAAGGCCTTAATAAGCAGCAACAGCAGCATATACATTTCCCATCGACATATGGAAGCAGTGGTGGTAACTATAACCATTTTTCCGGGACAACTACTGGTTCGTCATCTCTCAGACCACAACCTCATCCTCATGATTCACACATAAGGAAAATTCCTCATCAGAATATTGGTTTAAATCACTTGGGTGTAGAACGAAAAAGTTCTTTCACTGATCCTAAGAGAATGCCAGGTAGATCTGTGTCGACTGGTGTAAACAATACAGCACCACAACAAACTTCAACTTCTTGGCAACCTTCAGCAGAACAAAATTCTGGCTTGTTTTCATCTGTTTCATATGTAAAAAAGGAACCTAACGACCTTTCTATTGAGCAGCAACATAGGAATCATTTATCTAAATTGCATGGGTTGCCTTCTGTTAATTCTGGTCAAACTGAACAGGGTAGTGGTGTCAATCAAGGCACTGTAAAGGATGAGTTTTCAATAGGTTCTTTAGCACTCACTAGCATGCCACATACAACATCTCCTAGCTTGCCCACATCAAGCTCTGCATCTTAACTAGATCCAACCAGCCAAACCCAGTTTGATAACCCGAATGATTCAAATATGGAAGAGATGCCCATTGTACTGACAAGGTTAAGTTTAAAACTGAGCTGCATACTAATACAAACGCTAGCAATCAACACAAGACTAAGCTTGGTGGGAAGGCTGAAACTTCAAAAAGGCAATTTATCTAATCAGAATAAAGAGGCGGTACAAGTTGAATTAACTGACAAATGGTATCTTAATATGCCATTTTTGGATGTTCCTTTGTTAAGGCTGCTGAAGGAATTGTTTGTAGGACAGAAGCTTGAAGAATGGGAAACAGAAGATTAATTAACAACTCTCTAACTACCTCCAAACAGAATTCCCAACTAGCAAAACCACCTTGTAACCAACTCTCAATCTCACCCTTCAATCCCTAACAAGCTCTATCCAAATCAATGGTTCAGATTGATTCCCACATAACCGTTTCCTCCCTCAATTACCTATATAATCCAAACTCCCTCCAAGTTTGAGGGGACGACGATACTTTCTCTTTTCCAGTTTCAAACTTCATCCTCTCTCCACTATTTTTTTTTTCTATCCTCTTCCATCAACACGCTTCATTTTTCACCCAGAACTCAAAAAAGTTTTCGGAATTCTCTCTCTTTCTTCTCTAACCAATACTCTTCACCCTTCAAGCCACTCTTCATTTTTACTTACTTCTGAAACCCTGCTTCATCTTCATCAAATCATCTCTCTGTAAACTCAAATCACACTCCTACGATCTCACTCAAACACAACTTACAACGACAACCGCAACAACACCAACGTACAAATCATTAACAAAATCGCGCAAACGCATAGCACAACAATTTTCACAAAAGAAATAGAAGAAAAAGAAGAAGAAGTCGTGCAAAGAAGTTAAGAGATATTGTACCTGAAACTTCTTCAGATTTTTCGTTGTCGGCATCACCCTCGAAGAGACACCGGGTGCCTTCTCCGGTTGGTAAGCCTTCTTCAATCTTTCATTCTACATTTTATGCTCTTTGTCAAAGAATGAAACTTGAATTTTAGTCGGCGAAGAGGTTGATGGAAGAGAGACGTGTGAACCGAGGCGGATCAAAAACGAACAATGAAGAGAGGAGCAGAGGTTTGAGATACGAGTGAATTGTGAAACCAAAGTAGAAAGAACGAGTCGGAGGTGTGATTCGGCACCATTGAGGGAAGAGGAAGAGGACTTTGTTTCTCTTGAAGTCTAACCGTCACACGATTTGGGAATCCTGGGAACAAAATCACGCCATTCATTTGTTTGTTATGTTTTTCTAATTCCTTTTATTGATAACAGTGGAGATACACGAAGCTGAATAAAAGGTGGATGGATCTTGGTATGATCTTAGTGGACCGAGGTATACACCATTCAGGTCCATGGCCATTATTTTCGGGAGTTGGTTTTTGGTGAGGTATAAAATATTGGGTTGGGCCTGCGAGTCAATGTTACTACAATACACACCATGCTTCAGACTCACACACCCTTGTGTAGAGTTTTTCTAGCTTTTCTTTAGCCTTTTCTTTTCATAGTCGTTAGATAACAATTTTGTTAATAAAAATATTGATATAATAAAAACCTAAAAAATGTTAGATTGTAAGAGATATTTTTAGAAATTAATTCTTGATTATCCGATTACTCGAGACTCGTGATTCACTTTTGTTTTTTGGAGATTTGAGTCTTATGCATGCTTATTGTGTGATATGTGGATACCCTTGAAATTTCGAGTGTGATTTATTTTCACATCGATGATGCTTCAACACTTATTCCGAGCATTGGATTTCTAATTCTTTTCTTTGTTGATGCTAGCAGCTCGTGAGATCATCAAGTTTCTTTGCTTTTTTACTTTGCTCCACGAGCTAGTACTCGTTTGGTATATTTTATTTCCACTCTCACCCCGCATTTATCACTTCCCATAGATTGCATGGTATGATGACTTTAGGCTTAGAAATAGGTTAGTCTCCCTGTGACTTTTCTTTTTTTCTTTTCGCATATGCAGTTAAAACAAAAAACTTTTTTTTTACAAACTTCAAAAATACATAAAAATTTACTGACAAAAACCATGTCTTGGCTAAGTTTGAGAGATAATGAGCGGGTTTCTTCTCGACATTATTATTCTCTTGTTCTAAGCTTTGGTGTGGTTCAAGTCTCAAAGACTCATTTCATGAATAAGTAGAGAAATGGCTAAAATCTCTCTCTTGAGGTTAACTAGTTATTATCTACAAGCAAAAACACCAACAAACATAAAAATCTTTTTGCCCTCGGGCCTTTCTTTCAAATCCTTTTCAAAAGAGCGTATTAATTCACTTCTGTGCTGACGCGTAAATCTCCAAAGGTCGAGTTGCGGCAGAAGGCGAGATTAATATTGTTCGTTAAAGAAAATACAAACAAACAAAAACACATAAGCCGAACTACGGCTGCTCTGATTCCTTAAAACGGATACGTAGGCATTGGGGTAGGGCCCAGGCGAGCACAATTTTATTTTCCCTACATTCTTTTCTCCTTTTCTTTTGCATGCACTTTCCCTTTAGCAATAATAGACAGTAAGCATAGATTAAACACACCATAAGATAGATAACAAGAGTGGATATCGTAGAGTACTACGGGCATGTGGGGTGCTAATACCTTCCCCTCGCGTAACAGACTCCCTTACCCTTATCTCTTGGTCGTTCGACCTTGATTTCATCCTTCTAGGGTTTTCTCGATGTTTACCTTTCCCTTCACGTGGGATAAAAGACGTTCGATGGCGACTTCATTGTTTGATGATTTTCAGCCGGTTGTTTCAGCTGGCGACTTCACTGGGGATAGGTCGACCAAATGCTGGTCCATCCCGGAGTCGCTCCTAGCTCTTTCTTTCTTTTCTTTGGGTGTCTATTTTTATGCTTTCAGTTTACTCATTTGTACATGTTTGCCTGAGCATAAGTTTGCATTGCATTTTATTGCTTTCCCTATTTGTTATCTATTATGCTGGACTCTGTTTTCCATGTTGGGTGGGGATGTTACTATTGAGGTAAAAGGCCCAGTACCCAGGCCAGAGTGCACTAGGACACTAGGAATAGAGTGGGGGCATGACGGCTATAGGACGTGGTCCGATTAGTGCAGTCTTGTCATATACCACACTCGGATGAGGTTCAAATGAATTACTATCGGCACCCACGTCTGTGGGTAAACCCATAGTACTTTCAGGCGGACCCATGATTTTCGAGTTACCATTGTCTTACCCTGACCTAGTCTTCACCCGTGAGTAGGGAGGGATTTGTCATTACAGGTACAATTGGTGCTATGTTCAAATGGTTACTCATGCTCAGATGGAGACTGTGATCGGATGGTGATTAGTGGTTCTAATGATCATGTTATGGACTTCTGTCAACGACTTATGCATATGGTGTTCTGTTGGTGACTATATGGGTCTCAGATTTTTTTTTTCTGGGTTCGGTATTCAGGATGATTATCTAGTTATATTCCGGACCTTTAATCCTGATATATTCTACTTGGTCAGAGATTATACAACGGTTAATCATGGTACTTGGTTCCATTGTATGCTGAATTTGGTTCTGAACCTTTGATCCTGTGATATCCATATTATTCAACAGATTTATACAGCAGTCATCCAGAGGATTGCACAATTGTTATGCTGAACTTTTGAACTTATGTCATTGCACCTTGCATCATAACATGTTTATTTTACACAAAAAAGGAAATGTGAAAGATTATATGCAAAAAAAAAATGTTTTAACATGGCATTGCATCCGCTCATTCACCTCATGCATCCATAGCAGGTACTCCGAAGGTATTCAGAAATGGGGAATCCTTATTCAGACTCGGTATTTTCTTTTCAGAGCTGCAAATCTTGACTTCTCGTCGCTTCGGGTCAGATTCAAAATATGGAACAACTTCGTGGGGAATTGGACGAGATGAAAGAACAGATGGGATTCGTGGTACTAGACATGCAGGATTTGGTCCGTGGACAAGAACTCCTGAAAGAATAGAACACTCAGTTGAAGACTCAATTGAATTTGGTTATGGAAATTTTGGGGACAATGTTGAAGAAAGAAGATGTTTCTATGCCTGCCACAATAGGAGTTACCATTCCTCCCCATAACCTGAGGACTCTTGTAGGTCAGGGAGTATCTCCTCCGCAACCGTGCATTCCAAGATCCTCCCATCCGTAACAAGTTGTCACTTCCCGAGAGGACCCAAAAGGCAAAGTCCGTCAGCAGAGGCCAAAACAGCCTGAACGAAAATTTGATCCTATTCCAATGTTGTATGCACAATTGTTTCCTCCCCTGCTAGAATTACATTTGGTTAAACTCTGAATTTTCACTACACATGAAAAACGCCCTTATGGCTTTAACGACAATGCTAGGTGAGATTTTCATTCTGGGACACCTGGTCATGATACTGAAGATTGCGTAGCTTTTAAGCACCAAGTCCAGGACTTGCTTGATGCAGGGACAATTCTCTTCACTCCCGAAGGTCTGAGTGTGCAAATCAATCTTATGCCAACCACTACAAAGAATAGGGCTACGCCTTCTCCTCTTCAAAGTTCTATCTCACGATCGGAGTCACGTCATCCACAACCTATGATCCCGGAAAGTTCTCACCAGCAGTCGTTTGTAAGTTGTGGAAATCGGTTGGTTAATCAAAACCAGAATGTTCCTCGTGTTCACTTGGCTCAGTGTGTTACTCGACAACAAACCTATCAATAAAGACATATGCAACAAGGTAAGCAAAAGGATAAGAAGCCTAAGAGGGTGTTCGACATTGTTCCTTTGACTTATGGCCACCTGTTCTCTCAGTTACTCAAGCTTTCCTTGGTGGAACCCAAGCCACTGAAGCCTGTCACTCCTCCTTGTTCTATGGATTCCAATCCTAATGTGCAGTGTGATTACCATGTTGGGGAACTAGGTCATTCCATTGAAGACTGTTGGGCTTTCAAAGAAAATGTGCAAGACCTGCTTGATGCAAAGGCTATTAATTTCGGGCC